TGGCTGCTCTGTTTCCTGTAGCCCCGGGGACCCTGGGTCTCCGAATCACTCCCCGCTGGCCAGGTGAGTGGGGGGGGACGTGGACACATCCCTGCTGCTGTGTTTGCCTCCCCCAGGGGTGGACGCTGGCACCAAGTGCTGCGGCTTCTGCGAGCCTGGAAAAGACTTACCCGTGACTCCGGAGTGCGCCAGAAAAATCATGAGCATCAACTACACGTGTGTGGAGCAGGAGCAGGAGCAGACGCAGAAGAAGAACGATACGTCCTGCGCGTGTCTGCAGGACAAGCTCCACAGGTACAGGGGGGGCGTGCTGGGGAGTGGGGCCCGGTGCCCCGTCAGGGCTCAGCAGGGAGAGGGGCAGGCTAAGGCAGCCAGCCCAGGATGCCCCCATGTCCTGGCCCAGGAGGGAGGCTCCTGGCCAGAGAGGGGCAGTGCCAGAGTTCAGGAGCGAGGGGTCGGTCAGTCCCAAAGCCAGCCTCGTGCTGAGGTGAAGGGTTCGTGCCAAAACTAGGGTTGCCAGGTGTCCGGCGTTGACCCAGACAGTCCGGTATTTTCGCCTCCTCTCTGGTAAAAAAAAATGCAGAAAATACCGGACACCGATAATGTCCGATAATGTCCGGTGTTTTCTGATATTTTCCCGGCCAGGGGGTGAAAATACCAGACTGCCCGGGTCAATACCGGACACCTGGCAACCCTACGACACACTCAGCAACTGGGCCCACCCCCGCTTTCCTGGTTTTGCAGGGGAGCCGTCTGGCCTGGAGCAGGGAGACAAGATGGCCACTTCGTAGGTCCAAAAAGCCTCTTAAAGGGGCCATCCTGGCGGGTTTTTTAATTATTTTTTTATCTATATATTTTTTTTTGCTTAATAAGTCTCAGGGTCCTTTTTTTTTTTGTTGTTCAGCAGCTTTGGTCTCCCCCCTTTTCTTTTTCTCAATAGAATTTTTTCCCCAGGGTGGTGTTTTTTGGGGGTTTTTGTTTGTTTGTTCGTTTGTTTTTGCGGGGGGAGTGTTCAGTATTTTTGGCTAAATCATCTGGCAACCCTAGCCAAACCCCCCCCGGGAAGGGTTATTCCCTTCCCCGCCTCTCTTTTCCCTGCTCCCCATTAGCTGAAATACGCCTAGGCAGCACTACTCTTCCTCAGCGTCCTGGGGACACACATTTCCGGGCGGCCATTTCCCAGCCAGTAGGAACAGCTGCACCCCTTCCCCCATTCCCAGCATGCCCCTCCTTCCCATGGCAGGTTCTGGCTGGCCTTCGAGGACTACCTCACCAAGGAGGAGGCGCACGAGGACATCGTGGACATGAGCAGGATGAAGGCCCGGGTGCAGAACATCAGCACCAGCCTCGACCAGGACCTCCTCTTCACGCTGGCGCCCAACGAGGTAGCAAACACCATCCTCCTCGCAGGGCAGCATCTTTGCCGCCTGGGCGCTGGTCCTCGGCTCTCAGGCAGACACCTCGGGGTCAGGGTGCTCTGGGGGGCGGCCACACTGCCGAAGGCAACCGCTGTGTTGCGTTAGCCCCTGCCGGCACACTGCAGGCCAGGATGGACCCAGGGACTTCTTCAGATCTCCTGTTTTCCGCTTCAGTGGGGCAACGAAGGAACGAGTCCCTTGAAACCACCCCTGGAGAAGGTGGGGGGTGCTGGCGGCCGTACCTCACGCTCCATATCGCTCACGTTTGCCGCCAGGGCTGGTAGGGGCCAAGTCAATCGAATCACAGAGCCCTAGAACTGGAAGGGACCTCGAGAGGCCATCAGGGCCCTCATGGCAGGACCAAGCACCATTCTAGACCAACCCTGATCGAGGTCTCTCCAACCTGCTCTCAAGGAGCTCCAGGGATGGAGATTCCCCCACCTCCCCAGGCTCCCCCTGGCCTGGAAGAACTTGCTTCTTCTCACAGACCCTCACACCGAGCCCAGGTGGCAACCGCGAGGCGGCCATGCCCTCTCGTGGCCAGAGCACGGAACTGAGCAGTGGGGCATCTGAGGTCTAGGCCCAGATCAGCTCTCGAGGCGCTGAGTGACGGTGGGCGAGGGGCGCGCGCAGTAACGTGCTATTCCCGCTCCGCCATGCAGGTCCCCAGGGAGGGGAACGCCAGCGTGAGGGGGCACGTGAGCAGCGTCAAGCTGCCCCAGGGAATATTTCAGTCCCTTCACAACAAGACAGACCACGTCAAAGTGGCCATCATGGTGCTCAACGTGGAACAATGGGGCCTCTTTAAGGTAAGCCAGGGCTGGTAGCTACAGTAACGTGCTATTCCCGCTCCGCCATGCAGGTCCCCAGGGAGGGGAACGCCAGCGTGAGGGGGCACGTGAGCAGCGTCAAGCTGCCCCAGGGAATATTTCAGTCCCTTCACAACAAGACAGACCACGTCAAAGTGGCCATCATGGTGCTCAACGTGGAACAATGGGGCCTCTTTAAGGTAAGCCAGGGCTGGTAGCTAATCCCCTGGCCCCCCAGCAATCCCTGATTCACCAGGGCAAGGTGAACACACACGCACTGATTTCCCCCAGCTATGGCGAGGGGCAGAGTCTGCGTACGAGGGCACATTCCCCTTGTGAATTAGACCAGGGCTGGAGAAACTATTTTGAGCTGGGGGCCACTGACCCACAGAAAAATCAGTCGAGGGGCCGCACACGCATGAGAAACAAAAAACAACCCCCCCCCCCCAACCCCTCTGAGAAGGAGGAAGACACTCCCCACACTCCCCTCACACAGCAAGGCCTATGTGGGCCCAGGCCGGTAGGTTTTGGGTGCTCCAGCCCCACAGAGGGCAGCAGGGGCGCTGGATCCAGGCAAGCCAGGGGCCGCAACTGGCCCCCGGGCTTTAGGTTCCCCACCCTGAATTAGACACTGCTCCAGGACAGCTGCCACTTGAGTCCACGGCTGAAGGCCAGGTGGCTGAACAAACTCTTTTGTGGCCCCACTGTGGGAGCCAGGGCCGTGGGAGGGCTGCCGTGTGATGGGGCAGTGGCAGGACGCATGCCTAGGCCTGCCGGATCTAGAGCCGTGAATCGTGACAGGGTCATCAACCAGCCACGACTTAGAGCGGGGGTGGGCAAAAGGGCCTCCAAGCATGTGGATCCAGCCCACGGAGGCCCTGCCACTCTCCCTGCCTCCCAGCCAATCAGAGCCTGGGGGTGGGGGGGCTGCCCGCAAAGCTCCTCCCACCCTGCCAGGACGGGAGGAGACTGATTGGCCTGGGGGAGGAGGGGGGGTGCGCGAAGTCTCCTCCCGCCCTGCGAGGGGGGTGGCGCTTGGGGGGCCCCTCTCCCTGTGCAGATGAGCTGGAGCCCTTGCACGATGCCGGTACCCTGCAGGACCCTGACCAGACGGGCACCATGCTGGACAATGTCATGGTCAGCGTGAACGTGGGAGACAGGGAGACCGCTGCATTCAACAACTGCATGGAACTCACCTTCTCCCACAGCCCACTGCCCCTGGTGAGCCGGCCCCCCCATTCTCCCCTCCGCCCCGAGGGGGGCTGCCATGCACATTAACCCCTCTGTGCTTGCAGGACACGGCCAGGCACTGCGTCTTCTGGGACCCCAAGAAAGGTGCGTGAGGGGCTGGGCCTCGAAGGGGCTGGGCATAGACCTTTGCTTCACCAGGGTGGGCGGGCAGAGCGCAGGAAAAGTCGGGCAGAGACAAGCCCCCCCACCCAGACAGGACCACGCCTCGGGCTTACCAGGGTGGGCGCCTGCGTGCTTGCCAACCCCTCTGCGGAACACCCGAGTCCCCTGGCGCCGAGGCCTCGTGGCTGGAGGGGCTGGGCCTCGAAGGGGCTGGGCATAGACCTTTGCTTCACCAGGGTGGGCGGGCAGAGCGCAGGAAAAGTCGGGCAGAGACAAGCCCCCCCACCCAGACAGGACCACGCCTCGGGCTTACCAGGGTGGGCGCCTGCGTGCTTGCCAACCCCTCTGCGGAACACCCGAGTCCCCTGGCGCCGAGGCCTCGTGGCCGGGCGAGCGTTGGGGGCTGCCCCCCACTCTGCCTTGGGCTGCGGTCGCCTGGCCGGCTGGGCGTTCTGTGTTTTACCTGCCCGGCTCGCCACGGCAAAGCGCCCGGGCCTGCCTCCATTCCTGCAGGTAGACCCACTCGCGCCAACATAGCGTTAGAGCGAGCCCCAGAGGCCTCAGAACTTAGCCAGGGCCAGGTGAGCGGGACAGGACCCCCCCTCCCGAAATGCCAGCCCATGGCATGTACTATGGGCTGCCCCCTCGCCCTCTGTGCATTTCCCAAATAATATGGCTCCTGGGTCCTGCGGCGTCAGCGCCTGTGTGTACAAATAATATGGCTCCTGGGCCCTGCGGCGTCAGCGCCTGTGTGTAGCCGTTGTGCTCATGGCTTAGAAAGACACCAACTCAGGGACGTCCCCCTCAGAGCCGACCGCACGGCCTTTGTGAGCCACGGCGAACAAGACCACTGCCCCGCCTTGTGGCCTTCACCATCCCCTCCCCACCCTGGGGCCTTGCAGTGTCTTCCCACGTGGGGCTTGGAGCTGGCCGAGCCCTGGCACGACCCTTCAGCGCAGGGCTGGTGCGGTTCCACGGCTATCGGCTGCCCTCGGGTTACAGGCCGTGGCTTCTCCACGTGACTCTTGCAGGCCTGCGTGGAGGATGGAACACGTCCGGCTGCCTCACGGACTGCAGAGAGAGGGAGACAGTGTGCTGTTGTGACCACCTGACCTTCTTCACCCTCCTGCTGGTATCGCCTGTGCTCCCAGCCGCCGGCGGTTCCACACATGGCCGGCTGTACACTTACACCGGCAGCCCCGGTCCCTCGTCAGCAACAAACCCAATTCAGCCCTGCAGGGTGACGGAGGGGGGACGTTCTCCAACTAAGCATCTGGCCTGGGATACCAAAGCGGAAAGACTTACGCTCTCTGCTCCCAGCTGGAAGGGCTGCCCGGTCATTATGGTCCCTTGCAACCTTCTCTGAGCCCCCGGCCTCCTCCCCCCACCATCGCTGAGCACACCGGGCGTAACCGATCCATTGCTCCAAGGGGCAAGCCAGGCGTTGCTTTCAGGCCTCTCACGCTTAGCGCCCCTCCTCCGTCCCCAGGGGCTTATGGAGCCGAGCCTGCCCCACCAGCCCGGCCTTCATCCCCAGCCCAGCCTATCAGTGGTTCTATCCCAGCGGCTCCAGCAGGCTGTGACGCTGCCTCAGCTCTCCGGTCTGCCGCGGGCCACCGTCGCGCCCGCCCGCGCCTGTCCTAACCCCGCGCCTCGGTGTGCGTTTGACAGAATCCGTCCCTGGACGCCTTCACGGCCCAGAGGTTGTCCACTATCGCAAAAGTCGGCTGCGGGATTTCCATGGGCTTCTCGGTCCTCACGGTCGGCCTGTACTTTGTGCTGAGGTAGGACCCGTCCCACGCCTCTCGCGCTCTCTGCGGCTCGCCCGCCCGCGCCTGTCCTAACCCCGCGCCTCGGTGTGCGTTTGACAGAATCCGTCCCTGGACGCCTTCACGGCCCAGAGGTTGTCCACTATCGCAAAAGTCGGCTGCGGGATTTCCATGGGCTTCTCGGTCCTCACGGTCGGCCTGTACTTTGTGCTGAGGTAGGACCCGTCCCACGCCTCTCGCGCTCTCTGCGGCTCACCCCACCCTCCTTGTACCGCTCTCCTGCTGGCGCCTGGGATGGGAGATGCGGAGC